TGTACTTCATCAAGTAGGTCCAAACACCCCTTGAGTAATCATCAACAATAGTTAGGAAATAAGAGTAACCTTCATGAGATTTATACCCATATGTCCACATGAATAAGGGAAAAAGCATCCTGTGCATGAGAGGAACTAACAGGGAAAGGAAGCCTTTTATGTTTGGCAAAATGACAGGTTTCACAATGAAAACTAGAGCTCCTATTACATGGAACTAATAGTTTCTCTTTTTCTCTATGAAGGTGCCCAAGTCTCCAGTGCCACAGGTCAAAGTTTTAAGGGGAGAAGTTGTAGCAGCTGCTGCCGTAGGTTGTGTTTGAGGTGATGAAGAAGATGGGGAAGTCTTGAAGTTTAGTTGATAGAGCCCCCTAATCTGCTTTGCCAAACCAGTCCTGTTGAGGGTCATTAGGTCCTGAATTTGGCAAGAGTCAGATTGAAAATGTAAGGAAATGGGAAGATCATTTGTAAGCTTGCTCACAGAAACAAGGTTAAAAGAGAAGCTGGGCACTAGGAGAACATTCTCAAGAACTAATCCTGAAGGCAATCTAACTCTACCTATATGACTCACAGCAACCTTAGAGCTATTAGGTAAGTACACAAATTGCTTCTCAACTGGGTTGGATTCAAAGAAGGATTCTAGGCTGCAAGCTATATGATCAGAGGCACCAGTGTTGAGTATCCATATACCAAGCAACCCATTAGAGTGTTGAGGAAGATAAGAGGAAAGTATGTATTTACCAGCATAGTTGGAAAAATAAGGGATATGCTGAGCAACTGAGAAGGCATGATGATTAATAGATGGTGATGCTGGTGGAGATGGACTAGGTGAGAATGAGACTGAATTCAGGAGAAATTTCAGCTTGTTCAGTTCTTCAGTTGATAGTCCAAAGCTGCCACTTGGAGTCCTGGTGTCAACACTGAGTTTAGTGTCTGATCTAGCAGAGTCACTATCAGTGGATGAATCACTTTGAGAAACAGCTGCAACCACATTGCCTCCTACCATTCTAGCCTTCTTTCGTTTCAAACTGTAACACTCATCAATGGTGTGATTCTCTTTCTTGCAGTATCTGCAGAACTTCTTCCCATCTGATGTCTCATTGTTCTTCTGCTGATTACTTGAATTCCCTGATACAGCAAGTGCTACAGTTTGAACTCCCCTTGTCGCTCCAGCCTTGTCACTCTTGATCTTCTGTTCGTGCTGCAGTAGATCATTAACTGCATTGTCCACTGTAGGAAGTGGTTTCATCATCAACAACTGAGTGTGCACAATTTCAAACTCAGGTCTCAGCCCTTTTAGAAAACGGATAAGATACTCCACTTTCTGTTTCTGCTTGAATGCTTCCACTGCTGCACAGGGACGAGTGTGTTGAGGCACACAATCACACTCAACTATGGGATTGAATTGTGAGTTCTCTTCCCATAAACCTTTAAACATAGTGTAATACTGTGTAATGTTCATGGTCCCTTGCTTACAAGCAATAATCTGATCCTGCAGATCAGCCAACTTAATAGCATTAGGTAATCCAAACCTCCTTTTCAGTTCATCCCAAAGAACCTGGGCATTCTCATGCTACATAACACTTCTCCTTATTTCATTTTCAATCGAGTTGAGAATCCAACATAAAACCAGTGTATTCGAAGCATCCCACAATCCAAAGTTGGGATCTCCAGCAGCTGGCATAGTAATAGTACCATCAATGAAACCTATCTTGTGTTTAGTCTTTAATGCCATACGGATTGCTCGTTGCCACATTTGGTAGCTCGAACCATCCAGATTTTCAGAAATAATAGACTGCGAGATATTCTCATTTGGGTTTGTGTAGAATGGGTTACCAAATTGAAGATCTGCTCGTCCATTGTTGTTGTTGTTGTCAGTCGTAGTGGTGCTGTTGTTGCCGAATGGAGTAGCTCCGCTGGACTGTGCCTCAAAGCTCCCAAACGGAATAGCACCAGCATTGAGCGGAGTACCACCAGGAGTTCCTGGGCGTGGTGTGTTTGACATGATAGATCACTGGAGTTGTTCCAGCTTTGATACCATATGAAAAAGCTCTACGAGCTTAGGGTTTGTAGGGTTTTCAGAGAGAAGAAGAAGATGATGAAGGCGGTGCAAAATGGGAGAACCCACAAGGAAGAGATTCTTCCTTGTTACTCTGTATTTATATCAAAGTGAAAGGTAAAGTACATAATAGTAAAAACGAAAATGTCTGTTAAACTAAAATTCGAAATATAGTAAATGAAAGAGTGTCACTTGTCTTCGTTCGATTGACCTTCGTGACTCCACCTAACGTTACACAGAACACCTCCACGACGTCGCTTTGGTACTCGTTGAAACACTAGATGGAGGGGAAGGCAGAAACGAAACGTTTCTGCATGGTTCGTTTCTTATTCAAACATCAAGTTTCCTGCAGATAGCCGTTGTAGTCACTCATCTTCTTCTTGGATTGATAGCCGGTGGCAGCGTCGATGAGACGATGATTTTGACAGTTGGCCGAAAAAACACTGTCGTCTCCTGGTTTGCCCCAAACCCCGAAAACCCAGGGCCTAAAATTAGTGAGTTGGGTTGGCCCATTACTGCCGCTTTCAGGAGATTTTTCCAGAAATAGCACTGTTTAAAAAAAAATTCCAAAAATAGCACTCAACTCCGAAAAATTCCAAAAATAGCACCCTTTTTGCAAAATCGCCACCCGTACCGGCGGTTTAGGCGAAAACCGCCACCCGAGGGCACGTTTTTCGATGAAAACTGCACTGGTAGGTGGCGGTTTTGCAGAACGCACCCCCAGGGTGCGTTCTGCCTTTTTTTTTTTTTTTGAAAAATGCTAATTTAGGTGGAAACTTCAAACGAACGTATCTTTATGTTCGGGTATCCGATCGTCGCGATTTTTTTTTGATTCCGCATAACTTTTTGAGATCTTGCAAGCCGAAGACTGCCAAAGGTGGTTTGGTCTCGCCTTCGTACCAAAAAATGTCATTTGCTACCCCGAACGAGCTTTTTTCCGATTTCGTCAAACTTTGGACAACCGTAACTTTGTGCTCCAAATCCAAACGACATGATTTTTTTTTTATTTCGCATAACTTTTTAAGGACTACAATTTTTACTAAGAATTAATTTTCAAAACAGGAATTATTTTTGGATATACAGGATTTTGGGAATAGCTTATCTTCCCTTCTCAGCAAGCCACGTACATTTTGAAATTATGTCTATGATAAAAGTTGTATTCCTTAAAAATTTATGCGAAATAAAAAAAAATTTCATGCCGTTTGGATTTTGGAGCACAAAGTTATGGTTGTCCAAAGTTTGACGAAATCGGAAAAAAGTTCGTTCGGGGTAGCAAACGACATTTTTTGGGACGAAGGCGGGACCAAACCACCTTTGGCAGTCTTCGGCTTGCAAGATCTCAAAAAGTTATGCGGAATAAAAAAAAAATCGCGACGATCGGATACCCGAACATAAAGATACGTTCGTTTGAAGTTTCCACCTAAGTTAGGATTTTTCAAAAAAAAAAAAAAAAAAAAAAATGCACCCTGGGGGTGCGGTCTGCAACCAAACCACATGGTGGGGGTGCGGTCTGCAAAACCGCCCCCTACCAGTGCGGTTTTCATCGAAAAACGCGCCACCGGGTGGCGGTTTTACAAAAAGGGTGCTATTTTTGAAATTTTTCGGAGTTGGGTGCTATTTATGGATTTTTTTTTAAACAGTGCTATTTTTGGAAAAATCTCCGCTTTCAGTGGGCTAAAGTCCAGATGGTTTCCTTCCTCGTCGCTGCCAACGGACTGGATCCGGCAGGGAAGGCACTGGCAGTTCACCGTGTCAAGAACCAGTTGATCCCAATAACTCGAGTTGTTGGGAGAGGTTCAATCGTGGATCATATACCACAACACTAACATGCCCCCTCAAACGAAAGCCACTCACAAGGGCTTGAAGTTTGCACAGGTCTGAAGACAAGAATACCATGTGCTTAACAAATGGGGGTCACCGGGAATCGAACACAAGACCTCTCGGTCACAGAAGGCTCTGATACCATGTCAAGAACTAGTTGATCCCAATAACTCGAGTTGTTGGGAGAGGTTCAATCGTGAATCATATACTACAACACTAACACACCGTACCGTGGTGCGTTTTTAATCTCTATACTGTCCCAGAGCCAGGGCCAGAAGAACCTCAAGTCAACCTCTGAATTTCATCCTTATACTTCCCTTACTACAATCTCTCCCTTCCCGGTTCCAATTTCTATCGTAATCTACGATTCAATCCCGACTCCTCTTCCCCTGTATTCACAGCCCATTTTCTCATTTGGGTCCCTCTTGTTTCAATGCCGGCAATATACATTCAGAATCCTTAAAGCAGGGAGGAGATTTGGGTTCCTAGACATGAAGGGTGGGCATGAAATTGCTTTTGATGGAAGCGATATGAAATTTAGCATCGCATTGTTAATATGTTACGTTGATCTGTAAAGGGTAGAGTTTATCCAAGTGGAGTTCAATCCTCGATTGAGCTTGTTGCCAGTTCTACTTAATGTGACAATATGGCTAGTTGTGGGTCGTTTCTTTATAGTAAAAAGGAACAGCATATTGATTACTTCCTAATACACATAAAAATGCGTCTCTTTAGTTACTCTCCTCTCCACTACGTAAACACCTTGTTTAGCAGTTGACAACTCCCAAAGCAGATTCCATATTTCCACTATTAAAATCTTCTGATTAGCTTCAAGCATGGCCCAAAATGCTCCTTCCATCCCACTTGACACCCACCCCTCATTCTACCAAGCTCATCAAACACATGCCCTCTCCCTCTATCCGCCTCCTGATCTTCCAACTGCCACAGCTGCTGGGTTCTTTCTCTGCACTGCAGCATCCTCTGTTTCTCCCCTGTCTCTTTAGCTCGTTTCAAAATGTCTGTTACCAGTCCAGTGTTGCTGATCACGTTGGCTGCCGTTTCAGCAGTATGCAGCGCCAGCCTTCTCCATTTGGAGAGGAGACCTCCTTTGAACTCCCCGGTTGCTATGGAGCAACTCGCAGCCTGGGACCGAGCCAGGCACGCCCACCTATTTGACGGCTCTGTTGGCGGCATTGTCAGCTTCTCCCTGCAAAGATCCGCCGGGTACCTTCACTAACATTTTATACATATACGCCTAACGTAAGGTTAGCGTATGTCCATGCGTACGCTAACCTACCGTACGCCCTATTGTTTATTTATATATATTCTGGTGCGCACTTTAGCATTCTTTTGTGTTCAATCAGTATTATATAATTATAGTCATTGACTTCTGTCTCCAAATTTTGATTTCGCCAGTGTTTATTTGGCACCAATTAAGCTGGGATTCCCACCTCAAGAGTTCAAGGTGCTGATTGATACTGGGAGTGAGGTGTTGTGGGTTAAGTCGAATGCTTGTGCTAACTGTCCACGTTATAATCGTCTCGGGGTGAGCTTTGCTTGTAATTTCTTTCAACCTCGGAATGAATGACAATACGATCTGCACTTGTTTTTTAATCTTTTCCTTGTGCTTATTTGGTATGTTGCATGCAGATGCCGCTTAATTTCTTTGAATCGGCAGCCTCATCCACTGCTGGGTCACTTCCCTGTTCGAATCAGTTTTGTGCAGCAGCTACCAGAACCGCCGCAACTCATTGTGTCTCTCATCAATGCTCATACACAATCCAATACGCAGACGGGAGTGGAACATCGGGCCTTTATATGACAGACAGGTTTTATTTGAGTTCCATCTCACCGGACTCAATGGTCGCCTCCTCCTCGGCACTTGTTGTCTTTGGGTAAGTTATAGTGCCTCTCCACTAGAGTAGTATATGTTGGTTGAATTTACAATTTATTGTTCAAGTATAATACACTAAAACATTCATATTTAGTAGAATGATGGCGTGTCATTTACACAAGAAGACACGTAAGCGCGCCACACAATCGTTAGGTTAATTCTAACAATCAATGAAAAACTTGAGTATATAAAGGACATTGACCCCCATAATCTGCATATAACCATCTTTATTGAAAGTTTGAATTATAAATAAAAATTTCACTAAGCACAAGTAGTTATAGATGGTTAAAAAACGAACAAAAACAAAAAAAATAACAAATTTCTGGCTACTTTCAGTCGCCTTACATATGTTATAGTCCAGACCTTCAAATGATGTTGCATCCTGAGTCCTGGCCAGCTATTATGTATATGATATTAAACAAAAATGAAACATCAAAACATGATTAAATTATGTCCACGTAAATTACACAGTAACACAAATACAATACCATCTAAATTAAAGATTCCAAGTTCAAAAAATAAACACTACACCACCAAACACTAATCATCCAAGTCCAAACATAAATGAGAGGTTCATAATACCAAAGGTAAAGCTAAAACCAACACATAAACTATAAGTTTACAATACACATCAAGAAGTCCAAACGTTCAACTACCTAACCCAAATCAAATACCTAAACTATAACCATTCTTAAATCACTCCAAATTTTCATGTTCAAAATCGACATTGAGATCTTCATTCTCCTAAATAGGATTGACATCAGAAGTGTAATCCACACCACCAACATCAATCGTTGGGTGGGGTTAATGTGAAAGTTCAGGCTTAGGCCACATTGCCACTCTCATATTGACTATCCATTCGAGCTTGTAAAGTATTATAAACTACATGAAAATCCAACAATTAACGGAAGTGTTAATTAGCAAATTATCATTCATCAATTGTGACATGTAAATGTCAAATATGGAAAGTAAAGCATAATGAACCCATTGTAATAGAGAAACCGTATATGATCTTCTACACAAATTAATGCCTCCACAATTTTAGGGGTCAAACATGACCTGAATGAAAATAAAACTCAACCTCCCATGTTGAAAGTAGAGTCGGAGGCGACAAAAGATATTAGAATAGAGAAAGCATGAGATATCTAATACTTTTTTTGGAACCACCATTTGAGAATTTCTAACTTGACATTGTCATCATCTTCAATAATAGCATTATCAGCATCCCTTAGATAGATGTTAAACTCTGAAGAACATCAAATCCTCTTTACTCTTGGTCTTGAGTTGAGAGGTAAAGTTTTCTCTCATAACTATACCACTACTCAAACTTCTACTAGTGGCAATAGCTGCTACACCGATATTAGTACTACTCCCATAAGTAGTTTACTTAAGGGGTGAGGCAAGAATTTGTCTTTATAATTTGAAATAGTGTAGTCATCTCATCTTTAATATCATCAATCAAATTCCCCCATTATTTTCTTCATACATCTGCTTCAAAATCCAAGACACATACCCCCAATTTGTGTATAGGATCTAACATACATACCATGTGAATCACATTATTCATCTTTATATTATCTTCAATATCTACCTCAAACCAGTATTTCGCTACCTTTACCATAGTTCTTATTGCTATACATTGTATCTCTTTATATGCATCCTCATTCGATATTCTTATGACCTAGTAAATGTCTACAAGATACGTGAGTAAGAGATGTGGCATCACATATGATATTCCTAGAAAGAATCTAAATTAATTTAGACATTATGTGAGTAAGTAAGTGCATAAAATCATAACAATAAACTTGTAGTATTAGCCAATATACCAGATCATAGGCAACCAAATCACGAAAGAACTTCTAATATTTCATCAACCTTCTGACACTACTCCAATCTTTTCTGTTGGCAAACCCCTCTTCGAACCTTTTTTCATCTAGTCTATATATTAAACAAAACACCTTCTCAAGCCTCTATTAAGACCCCAACATCATTAATGTGGAGTTCCACCTCTTTGGAAACATCCATAGCAATAAGTTTCTATGTATCGATCTCCATATACGTAGCAACATCCTTGAATCTTTCAAGCCTTTATGGAAATTAATTCATCTATTTCACTATATCTCAAAACCATACAACAGAAATTCAAACTTCCTTCAACCCATAAGTAACAATCAAGTTAATGATATGAGTAACACAATGGAACTACTAGTACTTCCCATCCCAAGAATCTAACCCCACTCATGTCTGGGAAGTGGGGACTTAATTTATGATTTCAGGTTCTGTTTATGAGTTAAGAGATGATATAAGGTCGATTACGTGTAAGGGGAGACAAGATGGTTTCTAGGACTAGGAGTATAAGAGGATGAGTACGACAGACGATGAGGCAACAACTAATGAGATGCATGAGAGGCTAACAACGGGGTGATGAGAGTCTTGGGATTAGGGTTTTTCAATTGTGTGTATGGTTTGGGATTAGGGAAATATGGGAGGAGGTTAGTAGGATGCAATGTTGAGACAAGCAGGCCGTGACTCATGATTGAGGAGGTAGATGCGGTGGAGTGTGGCTAGTCGGGTGGGTAGTTGCTTGTAGTGCAATGGTGTTTTATTAGTTAGTAACTGAAAGTCATCAATGCTTCAACCGACATCGAAAAATACATCTATTTAATAGTTATCGGTTATCCGATTAACCAACATTCTCTGTTTGGTTTTTCAGTTTACCGGATAACCGATAAGTGTTTATCAGCTCCACTAAAATCTATTGGCTAAATAATTGGTATAAAACAAATTGTACCATATATGAGACCTTGATTTGGTTACTCTTGATCCTTACACAAAAATTATTTAATTGATTGTGAGTAATCGTGTACAAGAAACCATGAGTTGTGTTGTTCTTGTCTAGTCATGACTCTTGTTTCCTTTTTTTCTTATGGAATCTAATTATGAAGAATGTTATGTTGGATATAGTGTCAGTACCTACCAGTCGGGTGCCTTGGTGGATACTTACAATGAATTTGATGGAATCTTTGGATTTGGTCGAGGTGATCTATCTGTCATGTCACAATTATCGTCCAGAGCAATAACACCCCGGGTTTTCTCTCATTGCTTGAAAGGAGAGGGAACAGGAGGTGGTATTCTTGTTCTTGGACAGATTCTGGAGCCAGGGATAGTCTATACTCCCCTTGTCCCATCACAGTAAGTTGTTTCCTTCCTATATAATTGCTTAGGCTCTTTTAGTGAAATGTTTTATGGTTATGATTCTTCTTCTATCATCATGACTGCACACTATTTTTCAATCATATTTGTGAGCTTTTGCATTAAAATAATATAATTTATTGTGCAATTGCAAACTATTATTGTTCATTTGACGGTAAAATATGAATATTAAGGTGGCTTCCTCTTCTAATGGCAGGCGTCACTACAACTTATATCTCCAAAGCATCGTTGTTAATGGGCAGATGTTGCCCATTGATCCAATAGTGTTTGCGACGTCAACTCGTCATGGGACAATTGTTGATAGTGGAACAAATATGATATACATCACCGAAAAAGCTTACGATCCCCTTGTCAATGCTGTAAGTAACTTTTCTTTCCCTAAACTTGTTAAATGTTGGGATGAGTGAACTAGGTTGAAGAAGGTATTTACCAATTTCATTCAACTATACGAGGCAATTAGTTACATCTCAATATTTGAATCCTATGTTCTTAAACCTAGAAAACATTTTGTCTTAGATAATACATTTTTTAGTTTGGAACATTTTATTGGTTTAAATAGGTCAATCTATTTAGGCACAACGACATCAAATGTTAACAATGTTGAAGGTTCAAAGAAAATAAAAAATCATCATGAGTCTTGCAACATCGCGGTGTCAAGCAACAATGTTATTTTTATCAAGACTAACATTAGGGCTAAAATTCATGATGTTGTTGGAACCATGAAGCAACAACGGCATGGTTTGAATTGAGGTACACATCCTAGGCTCCTGGATGTGTTGTAGTTCATTTGTGTGTATGTGCTTTTCACGCGAAGAAGATTTGAGAGCGTGAGATGCATAATGGTCGATGAGTCTAACTTATTGGAAGAAAGTGAAGAAATCTGGTATACAAAGGTGGAGTGGTTTTACGTTAACTACGTGGATGTTTTTGCAATAAGTATCCAGTCTAATACAGAGAGGAGGGGAACAAGAATAATCACATAGACACACCTGTCTAACAACTGTTTTTTTGTGTAACCCTTATTTGCAGAGTTCTCATTCCATAACGGATTCTCATTCCATAGACACACCTGTCTAACAACTGTTTTTTTTGTGTAACCCTTATTTGCAGAGTTCTCATTCCATAACGGATTCTCGATAGGTGTGGAAGTAGTTGTAGTCTTGGAGTTTTTACAAAGGAATCTTCATAAGAGTAGTGGTAATTAACTTAGATACCCCAAGAATCAAACATCCTCATTTGAACATTGTTTGAAAAAGTGTAAACTGAGTAGCAACTGTTTTAATTTACAGAAGTTAGAAGCACAATCAAAGTATGACCTTCAAAAGTTTCCACCGTAAAACACTATGACTAAGACTTATCTTTTGCATTTCCTTGTTTATGATTACGCCCATAAAAATTTAGGATGCTAGAAAGTCAAATCTAGAGTTTGCCAATTTGTATATTGTATGAAGGTAGACTAAAATCTTATGGATGATACTTATTAGGAAACATACTATATCAATCATTATTATGCCACTTTACTAGGAAAAAAACATAAAATAAGAGAAGAAACAACATTTTCCTTTTATTTCTTGATAGTGAGCACTAGATGATTTCAAACTTAGTTTCATCACTTACATAGGGAAAGAAGTACAAAATAGGCCAATAATCAAAGAACGAAAAAAACACTCATTTTTTCATGTGAAATAGCATTTTAACTACAAGCTTATTATTCTAAATGTTATAGTAGAACTACACTGTATGAGATATTTTTGTAACTTCTTAAGAATTTTGTGTGTTCACCCCAAAAAAGCTCATTATTGGTTGAAATTTTAGGTTACTAGTGTTGTCTCCCACTCTGCAACTCCGAGAGTACATAGTGGACGCCAATGTTACTTAATCGGTTCCAGGTTTGATAATAGATCTACCATTGATGGATTGATTTTCAAATTATGTTATGAAGATTCTCATGCATGTATTGGACACTTCATTTTTCTTACTTCATTACCTTCATATTCAGTGTATCTCATATATTTCCGCTAGTGAGTTTTAGTTTTGTGGGTGGAGCTTCGTTGGTAATAAAACCACAAGAATACCTTATTGTTTCAGATGTAAGTTGTTATATTACAGACCTTGTCGGTTATTGATTTTATTCATGAAATTTTCACTTGTTATTATGCCCCAAAAATTCTTATAGCACTAGGGCCATTCTTCCTTGCAACAGGAAGGTATTGGGATGTGGTGTCTAGGATTTCTGAAGAATCATGGACAAACAATTTTAAGAGGTAAATGACATTCTCATCTTTTACTAAGAAAAAATCAAGTGAATAATAAAACTACAAACATTCTCATTAGTTGCCATGCAAAACATTAAATGTTACAAGACATTCTTTCTGGTTAGTTAAGAATGTTTTGCTTAAAGTTCTGAATCTGATTTTCATCTTGATCACTTGTTCTGATGTGTAGAACTCATTTTGAAAGACAAGATTTTCGTGTACGATATGGATAATGGACGGGTTGGCTGGGTTGATTATAATTGTAAGTTCAATAAAACATGACCTTCACTTATGGGGAATGTTCATTGACCAATTCTTTATATTCTCGAATGATAACTCTGATGCCCTTCTTGGTACCTCTCTTTCAGGCTCATTGGTAACAAATATTTCTCTCTCTAACAAAGACTTCGCAAGCCCCAGCCAATCGAACTTAAGTAGTTCTTATAGAGACTTATCCTTGGAGTTGTGGCCTCCAACCATTGTAGCTCTCTTGTGCACATGTTGGGTCTTATTGATAGTTAACTATTAGGATTTAATAGGTTTTGTTTTTCTATGTGTGCATATATCATGTACAATACATTTTTTTTCCTTTAATGACAATATCACTGAGTTGAGATTGTTGATCCTTCCTCTCATCCTCTTCAAAGTTTCTCTACTTGCCGCACTTGAAAAATAATATAATTGGCGAGAAAGAATCTTATCCATTGTTATCAGTGTTTTCTGTTCACCATTCATCTAACTTATCTCACTACAAGAAAAAGCCGAAGAAAAAAAATAAAACCCTGCCACTATGATATTGTGCCTCTTATTTATTTTACATATGATCATCAAAATATTAGCACATTGTCAAAAACCAAACTAATATGACATGAAAATCGTATCACTAATAGCTAAAAGAAAATCGATTAGTGCACCAGAGAATGTGGTTGAAGCTACATTTTTCTTCATTACCTAAACTTGCAGATACAACAACTCAATAACATACTTCTATGATCCAAATGATACAAGCATAAAAATTCATTGGAAGATATGTGATAATTTCATCCAACATGTTAAACCTTTTCCTGAAAATCTATGGAGTTCCAAAGGGTCATGAGAATGCAATGAAGCACACTTTTTCCCTTTTTCCTTATCGAGAAAACCAAGGCTATGGCTTGATTTTTATCTTCCTTACAAGTTCATAACTTGGGATGAGTTTTCCCAATCCTTCATTCAGGAATATCTTCCACCGCGAAGAACAAATTAGCTTAAAGAACAAATTTTGCGATTTCAAGTACACTATGATTAATCTCTCTATGATGCTTGAAAGATATTCCAAGGCTACTGAAGAATGTGCGCCCATCAAGGCTTTCCTCAAGAATAAATAGCATACATATTGATGACACATGAAATATACTTTTTTTCGACCCGCGTATTATGATTGAAAGTACATTGATTTTTCCATCTTTAGCATCATAATACCTTGGACTTGCTATGTGAATGTTGAAAGTGTATTTGGAATTTCTTTTGTTATCCATTTACAGTTTTGATAGCGTTCTGTGCATTTTTAGGTCAACGCAGGCGAGTGGACCACTTAGGGCTCGAGATTATTGGGACTCAGATTCTAGAGCAAAGATTCGAGGAAGGAAACTTGGGCCCAGAAATTATACCTATTTCCGTAGTCCAAAGTGAGAATCGATATCATGGCCGCTGATTTTGGGAAGTGCTTACTTCGTCAAGATGGCGTCTAGAAGTTATCTTGAAGTAGTAGCTGCATGTAAGGACTCTTCTGATTAGATGGATGACAAGTAAATGCCAATTTCTCTCTAACCTCTCCGACAAATGCTAAGATCTCACTCTAATAGAGTGTCTACTAAAGTTTTGAATAAAATCGTGCAGCCTATGGAACTAATGAGTCTAGCTCCATATTTATAGTGATATAACTCAGCCAAAACCTTCCTAACCGGATAAGGATATGATTTCTCTAAATTGGGGTCTATGCACGGCCTTCTGGACCTCAATTGGGCTTGTGCCCAATAGTAGCGATTGGGTGGCGGCTGAGACTACCACTGTTTTTCATTGTGGAATGGACTCCCTGACCCATAAGCAACCTCTCCTAAACATTTCTCTGTGGTTGACCATGTCTGCTTGGGCAGTGGTTGGACCGGACCCATTACTGGATCACCATTGGTTCTTGATTTGGTTTGGGCCGAGTCTTTTTCTATTGTGCTCTTCTTGGGCTATTCTTGTGGTTATTTGTAGGCTTCTCTATCATTAGACCTCATCTCTTAAATGAAAACTACATATTCTTCTCTTGTTAGCTCCTTTGGTCCTCCAGAATCATCTAATGCTTGATCCACATCCTCCTAGGTTTTATTTCACCTTGAAAAGCATAAAACATATCGAGAAGGCATAAAAGAATAACAAAATACAAGCTAGGTCTATCAAAGTCCCATTGACCAGTTAGTTATGATTTAGATATGAAATAGATGAGCAAGTACTAAAGATGCATTGATAGAAGGGGGGAAATGTATCAAATATGGGAGTGATGAACACTATAAATAGAGTGTCATCATGTGACACCTCAAGGGAGAAATTCGTAGGGGTCCTTATCTCCCATTGATCCGCAATACGGATTAAAGTGGGATTAAATAACATAAGAAATCACCAATTCATATGTTGCCATTACAGAGGGAACGTATATAGAAAATCTAGGGGAAGCTTTACCTATGCAACACCTCTCTCCCATGTAGACCTGGCAAATTACAACCCGACCCGTTGACCCGACCCAAAACCGATAAAAAACTAGAAATTTTTGTAACCCGATATCCGAATGACCCGAACCCGATAACCCGTAATTTTTTGGGTCGGGTTGGGTGGGTTAGCGAGTCGACTCGTTAGACCTGTTCCATTTCATATATCACTCCCAAAATATGATAAAATCACTCATAAATTGGTGAGATGTTTAAAAAAATCACAAGGATTTGAATGACATGTTTGGAGTTTAAGGATAATCAAATATCATGTGTTTCTTGTAGTAGTATTACTCTTGTGATTGCTTTTTGAAGATTTGCGCAATTTGTATTTCATTTCATTAGCGTGGGAGGATTTGAGAATATGTTAATTGACATGTGTTAGGTAAACTATTGTCATGCATATGTGAAAATTAGTATTCTTTAAGAAAATATGAAGCATTTTTTATAGTGTTTCTGAGAACTCTCGTAACCCGAAATGACCTGTAACCTGACCCAAAACCGAATAGGTTGGGTCAATATTTGACCCAAAATCAGCCAACCAAACATGACCCGACCCGTAACCGAAGTTCCCAACCCGAAATTACCCAACCCGACCCGATTGCCAGGTCTACTCCCATGCGTCCTCACTCGCCCAACTAGTATAGATTTCCTTTCCAAGTAAATTTCGTTGCTGCAACAATCCACAATCAACTTTTGGCACTGTTGCCGGGAAGTCTCACAAATATCAGAAAAGGAATAACGTACAAGTTCTATCTCTCCCCTTTTCTTTTCTTTTCTTTTTCGCTTTTCTTTCTCTTACTTTGACTCCTTGTTTATGTTTTGTGTGTGTGTTGTGATCTGGGACAGAATCCAAAAGGTCTGAAATAGTCGACCCAAGCACTAATTTGCTTTGAATATCGGCGGCTGGGGCACATTTTTGGGTAAGAACCTGACAGTCATGTTGCACTGCTTAATCTCTACTTTGTTCCCTTATCTAAAACATTCAAGGTCATAAATATGGATGAGTGGTACTTCTGCATTCAGGAGTTCAAACAAGGTGAGCCAGAATCAATCCATGAAGCCTAGTATCGCTACCAGCGAATCATTGTTGAATGCCTTGATCATGGGGTGTCCGACCATCTTGCACGCATGTTTACACTTTGAATGATTCAATATGCATTTTGTATAGTCAACACTTTGTATGAACATTGTATCTGGGATAATCCTGCTAGATAAAATCTTTGGAGAATTTGGTTATGTCGCTGAATTATCTCACAAAAAGGAGATTGATAACTCTCATCTAGTCTTAGATGAAGCCAAAGGCTTGCAAAAACGGATTAAATTGGTGCAACAATAACTTCATGAGGCTAGACCATTGATGCATAAGGCACATCCAGGAGAGTGCACACCGCCTCTAGCTGAACTACCACCTCCCGTAGAACAACTTGTGGATGTAATCCCTGTTAGAAAACCAGCCCATCAATGGGAAGAGGTAACAAGGGAGCAACACGCTCAGCAACCAAACATCAGTACCCGGCTTAGATTGCACGAATGCACCAGAACATTAAGAGATCAAGCCCGATCTTCCCACTTGTGTGGAAGTCAAGGTAGTTGACTAGGATAGTAATGGAAATCTAGCAACCGCATGTAAGCCCAAAACGATACTTGGGCACCAATTTACCCAATGCAACCTCTAGAACCAATCACGGAGCAACCCTTAAATTATGAGGACAATCGGGGATGCGAGAAACATAAAAGGCTGACTGATAACACCTAAAATAGGTGTTATTTAGCCTCTATTCTCAAGGCATTTTCATGCTAATTCACCCGTGTCTACGTCACATATCAAGTTATTTATGTCCATTTTCGTTCCTATTTGCAAAACATGCATTATGGCATAGGTATTCATGATGTGAAGGTTTTCATAAGGGAATCGACCCCAATGTGTCATATTTTATGATTTCCCAAGTG